ACTTACCTCCACGTGGTGCACCCTGGGCAACGTATACTCATACGTCAAAAAAGTCTATTAACCGGCAGTTGACTTCTGACTTCAAACTACCAAGACCCCACTACATTTCATATTCGACTACTTTCACAGTTCTCACCTCACCTTTTTCTACCTTTGTGTCTGTTTGTCTCTTTTACGTCTGTGAATCATTATTCTGTCCCCCTCTCGACGTTTTACCACTTTGATGTTTATCTTCCTCTCTGTGAAGCCTGAAGTCAACTAAATGGCTAATGATACCTATCATAACGCCTGCCATTTGAAATAAATAAATTTTCCCTAGTAGTCCCCTCGCTTGAAATTTGTGGCCTGAGGGGGGGCGGCGGTTAAGTTTTGTGTCTAGAGCGACGTAGTGGTTCTTACATGTCTGCTTAGTAGCTAAATAGTTTTAATTATAAAATAACAGTAGGACTGAGTAAGTAGGAATTTCATAAGGATACATCACATGGGGATCCGCAAATGGAGCGAAAACAGGGTTTGGAGGGGGGGAAGCTGTCGCATGTTTGTCCGGGTCTGAACGAATCTCTTCACTGTAAAAATTTTCCTATATGCATAGACTTAATTCATGTAGCACATCAATGCATTGTCTGGTTGTTTGTGCAATGCTTTGCCGGTTCACTTATTCAAACAGGATACCCATCGTAATATTGATTATTTGTAGTAATTTGTATATATATCGCAAAGTCAGGACGTAAACTATGCAGTGCTCTTTTGGTGTATGCGTCGGTGCCCTAGTGGTTAGTGTGAAAGTTTACAAAGTCAAAAGTTGCCAATCCGATGGCTGTCGGTGCATATCCAGGAAAGGCATGACTGCTGTGCGATTGCCACTGGGATAGCAATTTGAAAATGTCAGTTTCTCACTATAGATTAGCACTCTGCTTAAAACGGGGGCTTGGAAACAGGGTCGTAACTTTTTAAGCCTTTTTTAAATCAGCACTTTCTGACTTTCGAGTAGCATTCAATTTTACTGTTCCAATTTTGTCTAAAGCTTTTGCTCTTGCAGTTAATGTACTTTTGTGGACGAAAGGAAGGAATAAAGCGGCTATAAATCGCGTTTCACTGAGAGCTTTTAATTTTGAATAGGTTATGGGCAGTCTTGTTTCTTTCCTCTTCATTTCCTAAAATGACGTTTAAAATGGTTCATCTCTGAGCGCTTTGTACACAATATATGATTCAAGGTTGTTCCGTGGTCACTTTGTAGTCTACCAAGTCAAGGTCATGAGATCGATGGCAAACAGCACTTATTAATTGTGGCATGCAGAACGCAAGAGCGACTCCATTATACCTTGCCTTTACCCTAATCAAGTGCCGTGTTCACTTCCCTTGTTAAGTTATTGAAAGCTCTTCTACTTTCATTCTTATTTCAGGCGACCATCCCCTGACAAGCTCCGCTGCCAGTCCCGTAGTAGCTCTCAAGACTCACCTTGACGCCCTGGCCAATCCTGGTGGCAACAAGATGTCCTCCTCCCATCACAAGAAATCCGACACTGCCTTCCCTCTTGCCTCCTCCTCTTCATCAGCTCTCACCTCCAATGGCCCTTCTGCAGTCGTTTCTCGTTTCCGTCTTCGGCATTCAGGTGGTTCTAGCTCCTCTGGGGCCAAGAAACGCCAATTGGAGCGGCCCCTTTCTCAAATAATATGTCAACTCGATTCAGCTCTTCTCCTGAATAATTCGCCCTCTTTCAGCATTCAACAACCCAGGTCGGAGGAGAGGCTGAGTGCTGTAGTTAATAACAACAATAGTCAGTCGACTGTGACTGAAGAAGTGCAGACCGGGCAACAAAAACTAGGTTCAGGGGGTTATGATGAAGATGATGTGATTGAGGGCATACCGCGGGCTGTGGCACAATGTCTGGACGACCTGGAGAACCCGCCTATTCCACCTACCAGGTAGGTTGTTTCGTATTATATATATTCATATATATATATATATATTTATTTATTTATTTCCACTATATACCCTACTTATTTTCCACGTATTATTAAAATTCGAACTTTCTATTTATTTGTAATTTTTCTACATTTCCGCTCTAATGATTGTTTAGGTCTTGGCCACTCCTCTATTGTGTTCAAAGTCTGAATCTTGACTAGCTTTCATACTTTTATCGGATATAATTTTTACGATTTTTTTGTTCAATATCACTTTATTCTTGAATTTTGATTCTTTCCAAACTTCCCAGATCTTCACATGTGATAAGAAAAAGCTTAAATTGATTACTAGAGGAATTTTGATCACCGTTGAAGCTGGTGAAATTTGAAGGCAGTTTATATTTTTCCATGATCAGGTGCTTGATTACGCATTTGTTTTTTTCAATTTGAAACAACCCGTTTTTGGTTGAATTTCATTGAAACCATTGATGTGTTATTGTTACTTTTAAATTTTACTCCTTATTGATCAGAATTTTAGCTTTTTCGTCTATGTGGACAGCTGCTATTTCGATACTGTCTCTTAAGAGGGGATTTTTGTAAATATTTGGCAAGGAATTCAAAGTGATTATTTGAGCGTCAGTATTAGCATGATTTTAATTTTTTATCTAGGCAACAATTGCTTCTTTAAGTTTATTCTTTCTTGCCTTTCATCTGACTCTAAGGTGTTTGCATAGTTTCGCAGATAATACTTTGTAAATGCGCCCACATTCAACTTAATATTTGGTTAGAATCCATCTTTATTTATCGTCATTCCATTGGATGCATGTTCGTGATAGACTGTTCTGTTTCCCTCACAGTACTGACTTTATCAGCCTCGAAGGCGCTCAAGCACTGATGAAAGAAATACAGCACGTAATGTCTGACGTGTTCTTTGGCTAATCCTCGATTTGACATTTCAGCAGCAGTAAGATGAATTTCACTCCCCAAACAATTTTGGACCATTTATCTACTTAATTAAAATGCTCAGAGAATTGTTTCGCCTACTGTGTCGGGTCACAAACTGAACTCAAGTATCTATCGGTACCCTTGAACTTAAGAGAGGATGGAATGTGATAGGTGCGGCGTTTTAGTACCCTTGTGTTAGCGTAACAAGAATATCTCCTAGAATTCTCATTTTCTCCTCTTGGTAACAAATGCTACTACTTAAAATAGCCTGTCTCAAATACCCCCCATCTTGATATCCACTTATCATGTCTAGTGCTTACCCGGTTGAAGTCTCATTGGTGGTGTGCTTTCTGGTGATATATCGTCCCACTCGCTTCCTTTCTCACAACATTTATTTAAGTCCTCTCTACTCTTTCTACCTCCTGTCCCGAATCTGTTGCAGTTAATCTATTTCTTCCGGAGAAAGTCTTGTTTGAATTCTATTAGATTGCCAAATATGGTAGCTGTCAATTCATTTTTAGGCCATATTACTACCCCCCTTTTTTAATAATCTCACTCTTTGCAAATGACAGGGATAAAGTACATAATGCTATATGGTGGCCTAATTTATATAGTAACTCCTTTTCGTCGATATAATTTTTTTCAACATATTTGATAACTATTTTGGTAGTAGGTTCTTGTGATCCGGTAGCGTAGTTATTTGCGTGGGTGTCTGTTAAATCAAGGGGGGATAAGTCTACATTTGTACACGCAACGTTATGATTAATCTCAATCCTCTTAACGCCCGAATTGTTATTTTGAGGAATGTACTCAACTACAATCCCGCGGGTCTCGCAGTAGACTGATGCCACCGATGTGATGAGTTTTGGTGGCATTAGGTGAAGGCTATAGACACGTATTGAATGAGTCTAGTACCCCAATGGAGCTTATTTTGAAAGAGGACCGTGTATGGTCCTAAGGGCGTTAGGGGGTTAATGGGTAAGGTGGATCAATAACGAAGTAGCAAAATGGTAGGTTTGTCATCATGAGTTTATTATCTTTTACGGCCTCTCTCTCTTATTAGTGATTAGGATCATTGCAAATAAAGGTTAGCTTCTGCGCATAAATCGTTTTTACAATTTAGTATTAATTCGTTTAGATTATTGTTTAAAGTATGCTCGATTTGATTGAATTCATTGGAAACTAACGTATTTTCACCTTATTACAATCATCGGAATTGATATGAGTTGACGTAGACTTTCATATGGCAATTTACCATTTCGCTTCGATTTTTTTGTTACGGCTTAGATCTTTCATATGCTGGCCGTTTTAGCTTTCTTTGCACCTCATCTATTCTATTGTTTCTGTGTAACTAATCTATTTCATTTGCTCATAATTTGATTTGAAGCAAAAGTTAAAAATTTTAAAGTACTGGACACAATCGTTGTTGATGGATTTAACGCCAATAAACTTTGCTCGCCTTTATGCTGGACGCATTTTGCTTGCGTCATTAGAGGGACGAATAGTAGTGGCTTGTCTTTCAAATTTGAAGAGACCTCCAGTTAGTTGTGCTTTCTTCTTCGTGGACATTTTGCTCGATGAAACAGTGAATTCGGTGTTGTTCAGCACTGCTTCATGCCTAAAATAAGATTATTTTATTATTAATCAGTTTTTACAAGTAATTGGATGCACGAGAGTGACATACCTAAAATGATAATTAAAGTGACATGCTCATTGTACCTATGCATTCGTCTGTGGTTTAGTAAGTCGAGCCAGACTGTTATAGAATCTGTGCTCTCGATTTTGTTGCCAGTTGTAGATACTCTTTGAATCAATCTGAGCATGAACTTCATTTATAATCCATGAAGAACTTGTTAGGAGAGGAACTTGGGGATATTTTTTGCTGGGCGTTACTGTAAATTGTCCATGTGGCCATTATTGTAATAGAAGGGTACTTAAGTTCCGTCAAAGATGCCATTTTAAATGTTTTAGCTCTCTCTCTTTCTAGAAAATTGAAAGCCCTGGTTCGCTAATTGTCATTTATTAGTGGCAATTTTCTTATTCCTCTTTGTTCGGATTTCTGCTATAAAAATGTACACCTAGCGACGTCTTAATGAGAACTTTAGTGATAGTTTATGCAGCTGTTGTTTCGCAGTAGCCCTTTTGATCAGTTCAACGCAGAACGTTATTTTTTAGCATTCTTAATAGTACATATTCTGCAATTGCTTTAGTATATTTAATAAATCAGACATTTATTGTTAACATGAACTGCACTGACTGGTTTATTCGGCTATCTTATCTGCGTTTGCGCCACACTTCCGGTCTCGCCCCATTGTTCTAACATAAATTACAGCATCAAGTACTTTCATCCGATCCGCCAAATTCGGTTGAATTTTCGATATTTCTCTTATTTTTTGAGTTTCTTCACTTTATTGTGTTCTTATAAAGCCATGATCTATTCCATTTCGGTTTCCTGCTTGCTCTTTGTATTATTGTATCTTATTTAAGTAGTCACAATGGGGTGAGCTCAGAATTAACAACACAATTGATATTTTCGGTTCCCATCTCCACTCCTTATCCACTTTCGTTCCTTTATTTGCTTTTCTTACTACTTCAGAGTTTACTCCTTACGTCGTGGTGCTGGTGAAATCTTCGGTCACTTCGCCAATTCCTCTTCTTCTGAAACCGCCTCACCCCATGGTTCACGAGGCCGACGTGCACCCCTCCAGAGTCTTTCAGAATCATCCGGTTTCGAGATGCTGGACCTTGAACGTTCGGGCGGAAGCGGGTCCAACGGGCGTGGGGAAGCGACTGATGATGATGATGCGGAGGCGTTGGAATTCGCCATTCTAGAAGCGGCCGCAGAAGCGGAAGAGCAAGCTGCAGCGGCTGCTGTGAGTGGAGAGAGGAAGAGGTGTCAATTGGGTGATGTATGTCCTGTTTCTCCACTGGCTGACCATATGAGCGCTTGGTAAGTGATTTATAGTGAAGAGTTTTGCAAACCAAACTCATTAATTAGCGACGATTGTAGCGTTCCGTCCTGTCTATATTTGGGTCATATCTCGAGTCAAAATTTTAAATCCGCTGTCATTCGGCAAGTTGATTTGCAGTATATTTGGAGTCATCATTTTCAGGCCTTATTGTGGAAAATGCTCTGTGTGGCCTTGTTTCATGATGTGAATGCTAGCCATCTAAAGCTACTTACTTTATTCTCCGCAAAAATGTTTACAACTGGGAGTTGTTGAAAAAAAAACGTCAAAACAATTTTGCTCTCTGATGGGTCTTAAGCAAGAGGCGAGCAATTGTTTTAACACTCAGGAAGGCATTTATCATGTTACTTACTTTAGCAAGTGACAGAAAATCATTAATTGAAGAAGATGACTACGTATGAGCTCATCTATTGCTGTTACTCTCGTTTATTTTTTAAATTGTGGAAATTGATTGCCTAATATTCTGGGTTGACAACAGTTGCTTGATGTTAAGTATTTGACGTTATCCAAAATTTCTCAGAGGGCCCCAAAGAGAGCATATATATTGATAGGTCACATCGCATTATATACAGTATCAACTTACAACTATCTGAGGCAATTATAAAGTAGGCCAAGGGTTCACTTCGTCGACAAATAGCCCAATTTGGGCTATATGATGGGGGGGGGGCCTGTTTTTCCTGACCTAGCCACTTCACTTACTAGGCGTGCACTGATAGGAGTCAAATCTTTAACCACTAATTATTGCACCACCGCTACAAACATCTTACTATGGCAGTAAAGTCAAATAATAATACTTATCGCGCTTACTTGCCCAATTATAGCTGCTGAGTCTAAGTTCAAAATGCTTAAAGATGTCATATAACTATTTATTATGCAATGCGCAGGACCACTTTATGGTTGCTTTCTCGAATTATTCATGATGAGTGATAAATGCTGCATATAAGCTCTTAGTCGGCTCATCCTTAGTCAATGCTAATGACCAAGCAATTTTTTGCTTCAAGCGATATAAGCGATTAAATGTGGAGTCTATTTCTTTATTCTTCAACAAGCAAACGCAACTACTCCGTATCGATTTGCGTTTCCGAATGGCTTATCTACATTTTTCGCTACCTTCACTACTTCCGCTTCGAAGCGGAAATCTCTTTTTCCGGACTATTTCTCTTGGTTGGAGGAGTTACAATATTGGTATTGGTCAAATTTAAAAATGCTTGGACGTCTTCAACGCGCCCACATTTCCCTTCTGAAACTTACTTAAGGCAGAGTTTATCTTCTCTATGGTCCATGAATAAGTGGGCTTTCATTTATTTATTTAATTAACAGTAATTAATTGTTGCTTCTAATCCTCGAAATTGTATGTTACTCTCTTTAATTTCATCTAGGCAACCCTCACCAAGTGAAAACGACATCCAACCAGGCACCTGTCCTCTGCATGCTGGCCTTGAGTCTTCCCCCTCACCTCTGCACAATGGTAATGGCCACCATGGCAACAATCATCACCATCATCAACAACAACAGCTCAGGGCCGCAACAACTACTAATGGTGATGACATTAATAGTCACTGGTGGCCCAGCGGTATAAATGGATCTCGATCACAGCAGACACCGCAACCACCCCCACAATCACAAATCGATCGATGGACAGGAGAAACACCGACTCCGACTGCAACCCCAACTCCTACCCCCACCCCGGCCAACCTCCTACCCAACGCTCATCAACATATACATTCGTATGCATCACAATCTTCTCCACCGTGGTTCCAGGCCTACTTGCCCAGGGAAGTGGCTCTTGAACTCCTTACCCATGAAGAAGTAAGTGCTAGTTATGTGAGACTGATGGAAAATTTTTATTAACACTTCTCTCTTTCTAGGGTAATAGGAAATACACGTTGCTTAAGTCTCGATGCTATTCCTAAACGATTGTGCATTCTTGTGTACGCTTTGGTTTTGTGCAGTGCTACTAACATGTATATCAGTAACGTTTCTTTTCCAGAATCTACGCTGAATCTGATTTTATTTCCATTTTTTAAGTTTTTTTGGGTCTACACACATTTGGTTGACTTAAATTTGTTTTCACCTATTGAGCCCTGATCTGAGGATTTCGTTATTGACTTCTTTATTATACGAAGAGGAGCCTGAAAAAACTATTTATTTCGCATAAACTTGGTTACAGCAAGTAAAGTATTATATGCTTGTATTTCAGTATTTCCAATTAGTCCATTTAATGAAGTAAAGTTGTCGTATTGTCTTCCTTCGTTTGAATTTCAGCTTTGGTTTTTTTCAATACTTTTGCTCTTATGGGTAATTCAAATTCTAAAATTCAATTGCCGTGATTCGCCACCTGAACTGTTGAGCTAATTCCCCTATCAAGGACATTCAATGCTTATTGAGTGATTGATAATTATGCTGATCGGTCTTGTCAATTCCATTCGCTTTTCCCTCAGAAGATTAAATGTTTATATCTGACATCGAAGTAGCCGAGGAAATGCTTTTCACTCATATAAAATCATCCCTAATTAAGCAAAAAGGATCGGAAATTGGAGGTTTTTGTCTTGAAATGTTTGGCACTCCGGTCGCTATTTGAACTGTCTTACGTTCCGGCTTGGATTATTTAGAACCATTTTGAAGCCAATAAATAAGTGCCGAAGTATTTCAGTCTTATTGAACAAATACTTGTTTATTTTTTGCTTTATTGTATATTTCGAAGACCACTCTAGTTGCACTCGAGTATAAGCCGAAAAATTTGGAATTGTCCAAATTGTGTAGATTGATTAGTGAACCCACTACTGCCATCTCTATGTGAAAATTCAAAGCTAATACAATTTTTTCATTTGCAGACTGGAAGTTTCCTGGTTCGAGACAGTGTAACCCAGCCTGGTTGTTGGGCTCTATCAGTTCGAGTCCCAACACACGTCAATTGTGTTGGAATTACTCACTACCTTATTCAACATTCTAAACACGGTGTCAAACTCAAGGTGGGTTTCATTTTAAAATAGCATCTTACTTAAATTATTTCAGCACAAAGGATTATTTGTCTTCATTTTTAGGGCCTGGACAAGGAATGGCCTTCCCTCGAGGCACTGATCACTCACCTCACAGTAATACCTGAGATGTTGCCTTGCCCTCTTCGTCTCCCTCCAACAGCTCAATATGGAGGAAGTCAGCAACCACACCAAGCCTCTAATCCTACCTTTACGGAGGAAGAGGAGAATGATTTTGGTGAAGAACCCGAAGATGAGGAATACCAACGGCTGTCAGATTTTTCCTCAATGCTCGCCGATATGCAGACTGCTACGAATAATACCGTTTCTAATTCAACGGCTGTGGCCCCTCGCCTCTTCCGGTGACATGTGGATCTCTTAGTTCTCTCGATGTATATACCCTCTCTGGCATGCATCCACTTTCATTCTTACGACCAGTTCTCCCCCTCTGTATTCAGTTCTTGACAGACCCACATTCTCACACTGTTTTCTTTCAGTCTTGGTTATTTCTGTCATAATGATATCAGTTCGTTCTCCCTGAACTGTAACCTCAAATTGTCTCCTATGTTCTCTCCCTCTTCTCGGTTATTGGAATGAAGGTATTGCGCATTGAAGTGGGGATGTATTTAGGTAGTTTGCTATCATATTCTACTTTATTATTATGGTAGAAACATATTCAATGCATGTACGCAGTTTCTGTACCCTATATACGCTTTGCCAATTCTAATGTTATTCTAGATTGCAGTAATATTTACGGCATGGTGAAATGGAGCTTTTTATTTGCTTCGTGGACACCTCCGGTGTTTAGCTACATACCGTAAGACGCTGAATTCTCATACACCCGACCGCCCTATGACATCATATTACTAGTGCACCTGTACCCAAATCTGGGAACCTGTGTGGAACTGTGTTTTGTTATATATGGAGGGGGGGGGGTTGGTGGTCTATTTTATCGGTGTAAGATCATATGTAAAGGGCTTATCAAGTCTTGACACCACAGGATACAATGGGTAGGACTTCAATTTGGCTAGAGATGAATTCTCTACCAATGATTTAGAGATAGAGAGGAGTGTTGAGATCGGGGTCTGTTTTTGGATCGAATGGATTCCATTCTGCTGATTGCCGCAAACAATGGCGGTTAACTGTTGTATTTAAAGCCGAAATTTGTGGTAAAGGCTCTTCAAATAATTCGTCACAAATTTGTAGGCGCCTTGATGCATGCTGTTTTTTGCGTTGCTTGATAAAGGAGAGGGTTGGGTGGCTGTTGACTTAATGGTGCTTCTTCTCAGACAGCACTAAATTTCCAGTTCACTAATTATTAAGTAAGTATAAATAGAACAATTGTGCTTCTAGTAAATTCCAGGTGTAAATGGTAAGTTTTTTGTTCTTCAGATCAAATGCAATTGCTTTTAGTCTGGACACGATTTAAAATTCCTATTGAAAAGTAAATGTGGCATTATAACGGTTTGATGACTTACAAATTTAACCTTATCTTTAAGAAGAGCAGTAATTGAGTATGTCCACTTATGGAAGATAACTAGGAATTGGTCTAATTGGAAATGTACTTTTATATCATGTAGACACGAAGCGTCTGGACGATTCGCAGAAATTGGCTCTAAAATTTATTTAGCTGACGTTTGTTTTAATGGAGATAACCATGGAAAGATTATTTCCATACTTTAATGTCTAAAAGCAACGCCATGTTTCTAAATTTCAAGTAAAGCTCCACCATTAGATGACTAAAATCGGTGAAAAGCTTTCTGTTGTCAAGCTTCGCAATAGTACCGCTATGAATTAAGAGCCGGAATGACAGTAACTGGAGAAACGCAATGTTTTACTAATCTATATAAAATGACAGTCACCATCAGCCCTCTAGTTGACTTTGGACTTCACAGAGGGGAGGAACATCAGAGTCACCAAAAAGTCTAGAGGCGGGGGGAGGGGACAGAAGATTGATTCAAAAACGTGAAAGAGATAGACTCGAAGGTAGAGAAAAAGGTAAAGTGAGTACTGTAAAAGTAGTAGAATATGGCATGCAGTGGGGAAATGGTATGAGTATACGTACACCCCGTAGAAACAAAATGTAAAAATAAGGAAATAGCAGTCTTGTGAGGATGAAATTGGCAATGTCAAATGACGGGCTTTATGATATTTATCATTAGTCAATATAGCCAGGATTCTAATTCGTTATGCTAGCAGCTGCGGACTTTCATACAATCGCTCCAAATCCTGGTCAGCTCTCCTGCAAATGGAAGAGAGACTGCTTACGTGAACGCAGCCTTCAGAACTACAATTTACAGGTCAAAGGTGTCAAAATGAAGTTATAGTTATCTTCATAATGCCTCTCGGACTCTCACAAACACTCTAGAAATTGAGGGCCATACATCCTTTTGTCTAAAAAGCATTCCCGAAATGGTTTTTAAAATTTGTTTTGCTCTAGAAGTAATAAATAAAGTAATTCATTTTCAAAGTGTAAAGGCAAATGTCACAATGGCAGCATCAGCAGGTCAAAAGAATCCGTAAGTAGGTGTTTGAGCCATTGTAAAAATTCATTTTATCTGCATGCTTAAATTTAACACTTTTAAGTAGTTTAACAAGAACTTGAAATCATTGTTATCAGCAGAATTTCTTTCCAAGAAAACAAACTTTGAAAGCTATCCCATTCGCATTTCTGACATAACATTCAAATGACCTACTTAACTAAATAATTGACAAATTTGCATTCCCTTCTATACCAAGCGGTCAAATACGACTTGGAGCTAAAACCACTGGAGTGTAATTTAAATGGAATATACGTTAGAATAAGACGACGTGGAAGCAGGGAAATAAAATAAAAAACACAGTAACTCAAATTCCATCCACTCCACAATGCAAACAATCTACCAATTGATGTCGAAAATGGGGAAATACGCTCATTTGAAAATTAATAATACATTTATTTTATTTATACAAAATGGCAAGCATCTTGAGGGTTACCATTAGACCTTTAGTTGACTTCAGGCTTCACAGAGGGGAAGGAACATCAAAGTGAAAAGTCGAGAGGGGGGAATAGAAGAGTGTTTCAAAGATGCAAAATAGACAGACACAAAGGTAGGGAAAAGGTGAAGTGAGTACTGTAGAAGGGGTCGAATATGACATACAGTGGGGTGATGGTAGTTTGGAGTCAGAAGTCAACTGCCAGCAAATAGACCTTTTTGCCGTAGGAGTACACGTTGCCCAGGGTCCACCAAGTGGAGGTAAGTCTATCGCACAGCCCTTGCCGT